GGCGAGTAGTCGCGTAGTTTATACAGGCGAGTAGTCGCGTAGTTTATTCAGGCGAGTAGTCGCGTAGTTTATTCAGGCGAGTAGTCGCGTCGTTTATACAGGCGAGTAGTCTAGTTTATACAGGCGAGTAGTCTAGTTTATACAGGCGAGTAGTCGTCTAGTTTATACAGGCGAGTAGTCGTCTAGTTTATTCAGGCGAGTAGTCGTGTAGTTTATTCAGGCGAGTAGTCGTCTAGTTTATACAGGCGAGTAGTCGTCTAGTTTATTCAGGCGAGTAGTCGTCTAGTTTATACAGGCGAGTAGTCGTCTAGTTTATACAGGCGAGTAGTCGTCTAGTTTATTCAGGCGAGTAGTCGTGTAGTTTATACAGGCGAGTAGTCGTGTAGTTTATACAGGCGAGTAGTCGTGTAGTTTATACAGGCGAGTAGTCGTCTAGTTTATACAGGCGAGTAGTCGTCTAGTTTATACAGGCGAGTAGTCGTCTAGTTTATACAGGCGAGTAGTCGTGTAGTCGAATGTCTTTCCTTCTTCTGGAGTCAAAGAGCTGGAGCAAGTGCAGAGTTTACCTTTAGAGACGAAGCTGACGAGCTCCGGAGTTGGCAGGATGTTTGGATCTGGAACAAAAACAACCACAAGTTTATGGCATTTAATCAGCGTCAGCAGCATCGCTGCAGGTTCATGAATCCTGCTCTTCTATGTTGAGAAATGAGTTCTAGTTTTAGACTCATGAGCCAGTTTTAACTGTATCATGTTTCTATGGTTTGACTTTCCTCCATTGAAGTGTTACTGATATCGTGATGAAGAAAAAGAGCAGCGAGCAGAAGAATAGACTAAGTATTATGAGACAAGATGACGAGACGTTGTTAATATCCGTGAGTTGAAACATCCACAGACACAGTGCCGGGTCTCTTCCTTCAGTCAGGACTTACTATCAGCGCCACATGTCCGGACACTTTCTAGTTCTGTGTTAAAGCAGTTGGCGTTACCGCCGCAGCCGCCGAACCAGAAGGGAGAGCATGCACCGACGTCTTTGTCAAAGAACCACACTCGGACATAGTCGTCACACTGGAGACCAGTATCAGCATCCAGCCAGGGTAGGAAATTTACGTATTTTTTTGGGGGCAATTTTTGCCCCCACTTTTTGAAACTTGTGAAATAACATTTAATCTTTGTTCAAAATAATAAATATACTTATTTAGGCTTACAGTATATGAGCAATTGTCATCAAATGGCAATAATAAGACTATTAGGCAGTAGTCTACAGATTCAAAGTCTTTTCTTAGATTTTTTTGAACAAAAACAAACATAAATCAGACAATCATATTTCTTATTTCTTTGTGGTTATTTATTGTTATTAAATTTTTAAGTCAACGATGCCTTGATTACATATACATCAGTCATTGTATGGAATTATTGAGAAAAACATTTTTATAGCACCTTAAAAATTTAAAA